GTGCGACAAGGGATTATTAGCGTCGTGCACGAAATATAAATGTAATCGAGTGACGGTGAATCGATTTGTTATCAGTTTCGTGAGAAGCATTTACGAGCCATTAAACACACGGCGAAGTGAGTAGTGCAATTGCTGCGGGGATGTGGTAATCGAAGTTGCAGTAACGGCGTTCTCTCATCATTCGTCGTCGTCGTCGTCGTCGTCCTTGTCATCCTCGTTTTCGTACGGCGCAATTAAAACTTCAGTATAGTGTCTTTGTCCGTAATTGAGTTTGGAGCACGAAATTGGATGCTAATGTCATCCGCAAATCCGTGGCTTTGTTCGTTCGTAATGTGTTTTTGCAACACGAAGGTACTCCTGGAAAATAAATAATGAAACAGCGAATTAAAAGTATCATTATACGTACGACGGACTGTCTGGCTGATTGTGATTCTCATAAAATTACGCACTATCAAAGTATCGTTCCGCAGAAGAAAGAAGACCGTCGTGTTTTTTTTTTATTTTATTGATTACAAAAATAATTGCGTTTACTTATCACGCCTCCTGACAGCGTGAAGTTTTAATTGCGCCAACATAAATATAAAAACAGTACAAAGTTTTACTATTTGCGTTTCTGCAATTAAATCCCCACCGGTTGATAAGAACAAAAATTTATCTCGGTATTTCTCCCTGCGCGCGCAGCTTCTGGACAAAAGTAGATCTTAAATTGGACGATCTGTTAAATTAATAAAAAAAAAAAAAATTTCCGAATTCCATCTAAATTCCATCGACAGTGAACGTGACTCCGCTTTCGCTGACTCGATTTCAGCCAGTTTATATTTTAATCCGAGAATTTCGTCGTCATTTAAATAACAAAAGCAGGTGAGCTTGCACGGCGCACCGATAGAATTCGCAAGATTTTATTTCCAGATTACCCTGACGGGCAATCTCGCCGGAAATAGCAGCTATTTTTCGCGCAAACGAGCCGTTTATCCGGACTGCCTCGCGTGTAAGCACTTCATATTTAAGTCGCTCGTTTCCCATTCAAAATGTCCGAATCAGCCCCCGCGTGTCTTGCCGCGTTTGCACCTTTTCGTGCGCGAACGTCGAAATTTGCCATTACGTTATTTTTGCATGACGCGTCGAGAAATCGAATGCTAATTTCTACGTTGACGTCTCGCCGCTGAGAAAAATTGAAGTTTTTATTTCGCGTCTCCTGTACAACCCGTGCCGTGTCCTCGATTTATCTGACTTCTGACAATACCGGCGTATGAAAGTTACCTCTTCCGGGTCTTCATTTCGCGATGTGGCAGCGCCGGGAGAAGTTTTGTTCCCGCTACGGAAACACGGTCGAGTTTCTCGTGCGGCTGACTGTTTGTTGAGAGACGACACTTCCTGTTGACACGCGACTGCACGTATCCGCGGCAATACGATCTCGTCGTGCTCGCGTCGCGTATCGGATAGAAAATATTGATTCGTGACCACCAGACTCGAATTCGCGCTTTTGTCTGAAAAAAAGAAGAGAGAGAGAGAGAGAGAGACTCGGGAGATAAGAGAACGTCGAGCAAATCTTCGCTTGATCTTTCGCCGAATGCGTTTCCACGTTCGCCGGATGCTCGTCGTACAAAGACACGCGAGTTAACATAATGTCGCTTGCGGTCGTTCGCGGTGCTCATTGCTGCCGGAAATTGTACACTATGTGTAATTAAAGTCGGGAATTTCGAGCTTGAACCACGTGTGCGTGTATGTGTGTCGCGTTCCGTTCAAACGGGTTTGTGCTTGCGAAACGCGAGCTCTAATTACACGCTTAATTGCATAAATTCGCGCGAATCGGCAAGGCATTAAAAGGCAATGACGACACGATACTGTCAAAAAGGCAATGACGACACTTGATGAAGGCCGTTCAATGCGCCGTAGTGAATGATATGCGAGATACACAAAGATATTGAAATTACTGCAGTGAAATGAAGTACCGCGCGAGTTTGTTGGAGAAGTTTTGATAAGTAGAAAAGCCATTTTCTCAATTACGGAGGGACACTTTAGAATGAAATTTCACGCTGCCAGCGTTTTTCAATGAGAAAATCGTTCGACTCATTATTCGACGGAGGATTCAGGGAGAGAATGACGAGAAAGAACGAGGTTGATAGGTTGGCCAAAGAAGATTAGGTGAAAGAGGCGAAAAGAGACGAGAAAAAAGAGCCGTCAGCATTCCGTCTCTCCCTTTCCGTCTCTCCGTTGTCGCGTAAGACCGAGATGAAGTATTTGGAATTTCCGATACTCGGCAAATTTTGCGTTTGGCTCTTCAAAACCGCGCTAAGGAAGCATTTTTCGAAGAATACGCGAAATAAATTTATAATAAATCGATCACGGGTTTTATATTTAGAAGCGATATCGAAAATCATTTTTATTCTCTTAATCTAAATATTTCTTTAAAATTTATTTATTTATATTTTATACTTTACTGAATGGTCTTTAATGCTAAAAAATGATAACAGGCTTTAATAGTTGAATTTTTTTACGATAGCAAGCGATAATTATCACTATTGTAATACAATGATCAAATTCTTCTCGAAACATCTTTGGAATTTCCAATAAATGCTCTACGAATATGCAGCTGCGGATCTCGTTCAACTTTCCGAAGACATTTCCGGTCTATTCGAGCGCGCGGTGAAAGTGCACATTCGCGACGTCATCGTTATTTTTACGAACTCCTTTTGGCACAAAAGCGGTGGTCTAGTCATACATCCACTAGAGCGTCGCGCAGTTCAGCAGGGTTTTATAAAACTTCCGTGATTTCGTTTGAAATTTTCGCGTGAGGCGGTCTTAGGTTTTCAGGAACTAACTTTGCACGATGCAATTATACGAAATCTTGTTTATCGAAAGCAAATTAAAACAGAGTTCAGTATATTTACTCGCGCAACAAATGCGTGAAAACTCAAATTGAATTGTTCAATTAAATTCTTCCAATTAAGTAATTTTTATCGCATTTAACGAACACTTGCATAACGCAGCGTTCGGCATTTTTTTCCTGCTTTCTGAGTTAGTTGCCAGTCACGTGTGAGTGTTTACGCATCATCAGCTGCCAAAGTCGATTGCAAGCGACTTAAACGCTTTTAAAAGAGCCGAACAGGCTCGTGGGTTTTCGACCGTGCGTTATCCTTGTCCTTCGAAGAACGTCCTCGCGGCACAACATAATAGGACATGCTTGCCGAGATTAATGGCCCGTGAATACACACACTACTGCGCGACGTCTCGGAGTCAACCAACCCTCGGACTGACCTGCCAGCTCCTCGTAAAGGGCATAGTATTCCCAAGGCAAAGGCTAAAATCAGAAACAGCGTCCATATCAATAACAACGATCATTTTTGTGAAGTCATCGCGATTGTTACAAGCGTAAATATATGAATATTTATACACCGTGCGCACAACGTGCCTCACGAAGCTGACAGTGAGATTAGTTGTATGTAGAAACATGTGAAAAAAGTTGCAAGATGGAACGAAACATCATGAACTTTATCTTTCTGTATTATCATTGCATTTTTATGCGAATGCATGCTGCTGCAAAGCGCAGCGACATTTTTCCTTCAAATAGATTTCCATATTTTTTTCACGTTACACGTTGTAGTTTTTCACTCCGCGAGGGACTTTCTTAAGGCTTTTTCGAGAAGAATTATTATTTTGAGAATCTATGAATGTCGAAGTACTGAAAAATTTTTTTCAAAATATATTAATAATTATTCGAGATTTGCGTACTCGCATTTTCGCTATTTTAATTACTTTTTTAACGTAGTAATCAGTCAGTACGGTAAAAAACAACGGTCTCTCGTAACTAAATCATCATCTGTCTGCGATCCGTATCCGAGCGAGATGTTTCGTCCGCGGCTGGTAATAGCGAGACTGCCCTGACGAAGACAAATGTTAAGCAATGGTAATAATGCACCGCGCTTCGTCCACCTCGAGTATCTCTGGTACGCGTATAACCATCGCTGCAGGTCGTATTTCATATCATGGCCACCGCCGGAGAGAGAATCGTCCATTCTGTCGCGAAGCGCGGACGTGCTTTTGCCTGCGAATTTCACTTCCGCGCTAGATTCGCCCGATCGACGGAAAGATCGCCTGACACTCGAAGAATGTATTTCGCGCCGACTTCCATCTCTGGCGGAATTGTGTTTCTCGCCAACAGCATACTCAGCGCAAAATTGGCTTGACGGGTTGATCGTTTAGATTGCCATTGAGAGATTTGCATATGCTGAACGGGCTTTTGTATGGATATGTAATGACCTAAATGTAGGAGCCGGCTCGGCGCGGCGCGGCGACGGAGATGAAAGGCAATCGCATTGACGTAAGAGGATTAATGAAATCGGTTCCGCGAGCGAGACAGATCCGTAGAGGTATGATTTTACGGGAGCTTTCCATACGCGAACAACGGCATTGTGCGGTTTGATTAATGCGACAGATATGATCGATAAGTTTGGCAATCATCGGTAGCTCCTAAAGGCATCCGGGAAGTCTCCGCTGTTTAAAATCAATCAACTTACAATGGCATATTTTATTCAAGTTTTATTCGATTTTTAAGCTTATTTTTTTATACACTGAGAAAACGTTGAAATGTTTAAATGTGTGTATGCGTGTGTGTGTGCAAAGGATTAAACAACTATAATGATATATTAATATATTACGATAAATTGAAGCAAATAAGCACACAGAATTTCTTCCTCGATCGATTTTTCTTCTTGCACCCCGATGAGGTTTTCGGCGATGACGCTGAAACCTCTCGTTCCACCGTTTTTACGCGCCGCTCATCAAAGCGACTTGAATGGAGGAATCTTCACGCAGGATTAAATCGGCTACATAGAATGGCCTTCGTACGGTAACGTGACATATCGCATTACGGCAAAATGGCTCTTTGTCCTCGTTTTCGCGCGTCGAGGATGGGCGAGCTCTTTCAGGGTGCAACGGCAGAAAGGGGATTCTGAAATATGAGCAGGAGCTGCGCCAGAAAGGTCCTGTGTACACACACGTTCGATCTTTCGTTGGTGCACAATCGCCGCGGCGCGCGATTATGCATCACTCATCCTTTTTATTCGTACGACTACAGGCACCGCGTTTGACTTTGACATTTTAATAGACGGGTCGAAATATCTTACGTGAAATCTCGTGTAGAATTCATAGCAGTTACGCAACGATGACGGGTATAATTATCGGATTTATCCTTCAGCTTGGTTTTTTCTTGAAAGAAATTTTTGATACATACATTTTTTCCAGCTGTTTAACTGCAACTCTTTAGCTCTTTAACTGCAAACACCTAAAATTTTGCATTAAACAATTAATTAAGAGTTCTCATAATTTTGTTTCGGCGTCGCAGCTAGAAACTCACGTGTATTCTAAATTCATATGTTTATATAAATACTTACGTACGTCGTCGTATTGGATTATCTATAAAATCGACCTTTCTGAGGGCTTCGAAAATCAATTTCACCGGCAACAGCTATTCCCTCTTGCTTTCCAAAACGCTCTCGTTTTATTTCCACAATGCTCGACGAATCTACCTCCGGTTCCGGAAGAGCCATCTCGCTCGACCGCAAATTCAATACCGCCGTCACCGAGGCCTCGATAAAAATCGATGAGAACGTTTCGGCCGATGGGGAAAGGATAGGGTTCGCCGAGTGGCATTATACTCGGCTGCGGAAAGCGCCGATCCTTGCCGGAAGGACATCCATCGAGACAATCCGTGAAAAGTCCAAACAGCGCGAGACATTTGTAATCCTGTGAAAAAAGGATATATTTCAGTCGCATACCGAAGTCTAAAAATGTACCAGATATATATATATATATTTCATAATTAAATTAATTTTTCAGCAATTGTTGATGAGTTAATTGGTTATTATTTTACATGCAGCGATATTTTATAATTTTACGCTGCGAAACATGTACGAATACTTTTTTCTTTTTTTTTTTAAATACACAAAGTGCTTTGTGGTTGGCATAAATTTATGAATTAAATATGTGCATTGCGGCTAGCATTTTTTTCTTATTTTCTCAGCTTACACGTACGCTCTTTTTCCCGTGCGATAAATTCATAGCGCTTATCGTTTGATAAACTTAAATTAACTTGATTATCGGTAATTTTTTTAATTAGGGAATTGATCAGATCAATCTAGGCTATCGCTCTTTTCGAGTCTAAAGTATCGCGACAATTGTCTCTTCGATTTTCTCTCTCTCTCTCTCTCTCTCTCTCTTTAGTAAAATAAAGAGAAAAATAGTAGTACAAAAAATTGATCAGTAACATCATTCTGTTATACAAAGCTATCCGTATGTGAAACATTTTATCACCGTGCGATGAACGACAAAAAAGATCTTTCGCATTAGTTAACACGAATGGACAATGTTGATGCGATACGCTGTGCGCGCGAGGTAAAAGCGTAAACGAGCGCGATAAAAATCAGCGAGTACGAGTTCGGAAATTACGAGTGGGAAAAAATGCGCAATTATTAATAGTTATCGGCGACAAGTTCGCGCGGGAAGGGAGATAAACAACTTTTATGGAGCGTGGATAAAAATTTGAAATCTCACGGGTGCCTCTTTTCATAAAGGTCCTCGCGGCGCTTTTCGAGCCGCCGGCAGATATCGATCGTCGGAGGTCGATGCACCGACGTTGCGCTACGTGAAATTCATTTTCAGAGAGGCCCCACGGGAGGCGTTCTGAAATTCACGACTGGATGTAACGAAGTAGAACAAAAATGTCAATCGCGATTGCGGGAAGGAAAGGCGAGAAGATATTTCTCGCTGTGCGTGCCGTATCGATGTTTCGTGTCTGTACGAAACATCGTGCATTTTGTATTTCACGTCACATATTCGATTCCTTCTATCAAATTTTACTCTGGATTGACAGAATATTTGAGTAATTATTAAATTTGTGTGTGTAATATTGATTTTAGCAGAGTTTTGTATCATATTTTTCAGTCGCTGCGCGTGGTTTCGCCTGCCGTTTAAAGTTCACTTCGCTTTATTCAACGTCTCGCGAGAAATGTTTTTTTTTTGTTTCGTCGAATTTCTTGCCAAGTCTGATCGTCGGGTGTTAGTTGATAATTACGAAGTTGCCACTAGGAGAACATCGTGATATTTTTGCGCTAAATACCGCCTTTAATTAAAGTACACGTTGCTTCCTGAAATTCCCGGGATTCGTAAGGTATTTCATTAGCGTCGCTCCAGGGTGCGATGGACTCGAGTAGTTGAGCAGGTCTTGCCTCCTCACAAGGATCCTTTGTAATAATAGCTCATGCATGGTATCGTCATCTACATAGAGCGCAAAAGCTGTTTCTTCTTCGGCGCGGTATCGAAATACGAGGAAATACCAGCTCCTTTGACGATGTAGACAATTGGGTTTTGATACACCGAGATAAACGATATCGTAGTTATGACGTATTTTTCCGCGAGGTATTAATTTTATCTCGCGACGCGTCATTTCAATTCGCATCATATAAAATATCATTCATCTAATCTGATAACTCCGTGATGATAAAAATTTTTTTATCGCAGATGAAATCAAATTTTATTCTCGAAATGTTAGTCAGCCTTTTGCAAATTTTATAAATTACGTAACTCACGCGTGGAGCGATTGAATTTTATCATTGAATGATATAAAATATGTAGAATAGGTAGGCTGGCGGGGCACTTAAAGTAACACAAGTTCTGTTTGAAACCTTATTCCAAAATAATCTATTGTTTCTTAATGTAACTTTTGCACCTTCTGCCGCGAGAGCATGGCTGCGCGCATCGGAGTTTCGACTTTTATGAGAGGCAACTTTCATGATATATCTCGCGGGAGAGCTCTTCGAAGAGAAAGAGACCTACGCGGTGCCAGCTGGGAAAACCTTGTACGCGAGCTGCGAGGAGGAGGCATTGTGAACTAGGAAACAAAGCGTGAGAGCGCCGTTATTTTAGGTGGAAATTAACGGGACGGTGCGCGACTACCAATTCCATCCGTGCATTCTCGTAGAAAGTAGTGCATAAAATGCACTGTATACAGGGCGCATTTTAGTGTAAATATTTGGAAACATTTTAAATCGCGCTGAAATACTCGCGTTACATATTTTAAGACTCTGTAAAACTGAATGCTTTCGGGCGCTTTTCTTTTTACGCCCGTTTTGAATCTGTAATTTGCAACGCAATATTCAAAATAGAATTATATTTACAATTTTATGTTTGTAATTTTACGCGAAAAATTACGCATAAGTGATTCGTATTTTGTATGTGTGTGTTTAGATTTTGCAAATGTTTTCTATTACGTAAAATTATAAAAGAAATTCTCTTTTGAATTTTATTGCCAATTATAGATCGTCCAATGTTTTAAAAAATTTAAGATTAAATAATTTTTTCCAATTCTTTTTATGGTGAAATTCAGCGAAATATACGCGCTTAGCTGAAGGTAAAAGCTTATTGCCGCAACAGGATCTTTTTGCGCTTAAAAGATGAAAGGTGTGTTCTGTCTTCAGAAGCTGGACACCCCGTACGTAACTCGTCGGCCTGCATTATGTCGTGCAGTTTGTAAACACGGCTCGAGGTGGGGCATCGCGAAAAGCACCCTCGGGCGTAAAATGCGACGCGTCCACGGCGGATCGGGCTATGGCGAGTTTAGCATGCTCCGCTAAACGCGCGTCCGCTGAATAATGCACGGCTCTTTTATTCCCGAAGCGACGTTCTCCACGAGACGCGACTCGCGGGGGCGTATCTCGTGGGCGCGGCGGGTTTTATCGTTCCTCATCGCTGCGAAAAAGACCGGTGTTCCGACAAATCCTGGTCACGCGAATGGATAAACCTTGTTTGATGTTAGCGACGTAATACAACCGACATCGCGCAAAAGAATTATTTTTGTAAGGATTTGTGTGCTGAAAATACTGCAAAAGGATGGATTGAGCACAACTTGGAAAAAAATATGTCGGAAAAAGATGGATATACTATCATTAACAATATTAATAAATAATAATATTTCGCGTGTCAAACATTCACCACATGCTCAGAAAGAAACCGCTTGTATAATTTATCTTGTTTACTCTTCGTTGAATATTCCGACGTGTATAAATGCTCGACGCGAGTCAACGAATGGTAAAAATAACCCTGCAACGAAGAGCACCAAAAAATGGGCCTCGTTGCGGCGAGAGTGGCGAGGGATGTAAACGTTCGCGGCGCATCGCGAAGATGAGCGAGAACAAGGGGCATTACGCAAATGAGGAGAGCACGGATGGAAGGGAGAGGCCGGGCTTTCGTTGGGAAAACAATGGTTAATGCCCGCGGTTGTAATCGGAAAAGTATCTCTCCGTTCTGCCATAGAATTTGAAAAAAGGATTAAAGTCGGGATACGGAAGCAAAGATGGTAATGTATGTTAACCCTCGGGGCATTTAAATTCTTTCTGGATAGTAAATGCATTTTTTACATTTGTCCGATTATTATTCTTATCGTTGAAAGCACACGATACGAAGAATTGGAATTTTTATGAAATATATTTTCGCGATATTTTCATTATTTTGCGATATTTAATTTCACGATTCACGATTTTTTCATGTTATTTAGGATCAGTTTTCTTGTAACAAAAATGTTGAAACATGATTCTTCAATTAAAGCGATTGAAAGCGAGTCATTTTTTAATGAACTAACTTTAAGAATGGATAATAAAATAGTTAAAGTAAATTTTACTTTGACAAAATTTTAGATTTAATTATTAAGATATTTAAAATAAAATATTAAAAATTATTAGCTGAAAAAAATGATATTCAAATCTTTATTAAAGAAAAGTTGATTGTAAATTTTTTCAAAGAATCCATTTATAAGTTCTGTTGAATGTGTTGTGAAACATTTTATGTTATACTTTCATCTTTTCTCTGGCTAGAAGATCTATTACGTGATAAAATAATTGGGAACTCCAGGGAATGAAGAATGAGATCGAAAAGAAAAATATTTACTCTGCCGTTTAATCAGATCCCGTCGCGTCTCTTAATGAACCGCGGCGCCAACGAAATATAACCAATGATTAATCGTTCGCTATTCGAGCGACGAAAGTTTAATTTCAGTGCTTTTAAATGCGAGAGCGGAATTTTATCCACGAAAGGTCTCCGAAAGGAATTTTCTCCTTTAGGACAACGTTTTATTTGCCGTTTGTCGTATGTATTGATTAGCCACCGAAAAATAGAAACGCTACGCACACCAGCAAGAAGTCAATCAATACGTTCGAAAAACTCGGGGACAAATAAAATATTAGTCTTGGTGATTTAAAGTAGTTCGCAGAAGGACTTTTCTATCCGATTTCTTGTCCGTTTTCTTGTCTAAGAAGGAAAGAAAGTTTGTAATACTCCGACTGCCCCATGAATCATATTTAATTCATGGTACAGCCAGGAAAGTTCGGCGTTAAGGGAAACTTTTGATCCGGATAAATTCGGCGTTAAAGCGAGTGCAGTCGTTTGGAATTCATCTATGTCGCGTAACGATCGGGGTAAAATTGGCGCGAAGAGCGCACAATAGCGCGGCAATGGACGAGTCATTCTCGGCTCCGTGCGCTGGTGCGGCGCGCGGTGATACAAGTGATTAACGGAATGTCAGTTAATCATCGTACGCGCGAGTTGCGCTCTGACGGTGAAGGAAAACCACATGGATACGCGTATTTTGATAGCAGAACGGAACATCCGCCACGTCACGTCGCTCACCTCTTATTGCTACTTTTTCCGATTGCATCGCGCGAGAGCGTAACGAGATGCGCGAACTTAAATTGTAGTTTATCAACGCGGGAAGTTGAGTAATCCACTTACGATGCGGCAGTTGAGTTTCGTCCATTACGAGGAAGCGCGTACCGCGAGCGGCGGGGAAGTTTCTGCCAATTTGTACGCCGCGATCTGCAGCGTTCGATTCTCGCTGAAAAATTTGCGTGTCCCATTTTCCTCGACTTCCTAGCTCTGTGGCGGATTCGAAACTCCCGTCATTCGATTTTCTTCGCAAACAAGCCCGTTCAAATATTTACGAATCGCGCTCACCGCGACCACGTTTTTATGCAAATGGTGAAGAGTAATCTGATTAATAAATAGTAAACATCAAACAGCCTCTCTCTAAAGAACCCCGCACGATTCTTATTTATTAATCTGTACAGATGTACGTTCGTAAAGAATATGTTGAATGAAGCAGCAATATTATAAAAAAGATATATGTTCATATATATATTTCGCTTCTCGCGAGCATATTTTATTGATTTCTATTTTTGTTATCGGCAATATTGTGCAATAGAATAGTACTGGGATATTTGATTGATGTCGTGCATAGCCTAAAAACTAAAGTACACTCGCTACTCGCGCATGATCCTAATATTCTAGCGCTATTCGGATAAGTGCAATAGTATCCCAAAATTGGATCATTTTCTTCATTATTGTTATCTTCGAATTCGTAAGCGATCCAGATTTAATGTACAGATTAATAAATAAAAATAACGTACACGCATACACACACTTTTCTAAAATTCTTTAAGCTACTTTGAAAAATAACCACTTCTAATTAAATGCAATATCGATTAAATTGAATATTAATTAAATTAAATTAAATTTTTATGTAATTAGATATTTATTTGCGTGACAAAATTTTGATATCCGCGGTTCTCTCTTCAATGCTTAAGTATTGACACGATCGCAATATATTTAGAGGGTCAGGTCTTCATTTTTCGTCAGAATGACTCGGAAAAACGTATACAGCTCTAAGTAACGGAGTCACGTTGCAAACTATCATATTAAAACAAAGTTCAGCATTCGCGCTGAGTTACGGACTCCTTATATCTTTGCCATTTGGTAGAATGCAATTTCATTTCGCGACGAACGGACGGCGCACCGGGACAGGAAGACGGGCGTACCTTTATTACGTTAAAAGTTCTTACGATTTCTCCAGGTCCCCCGGACATGCCTCTGGTGGGCGTGTTTAAACATCGCCGCTTCCTCATCTGTATTAAGTCTGTACAGCCTTCCGCTCTGTGAAATGGCGAGTGAGACGAAATTCCTCCGCGCACAAAGCTCCAATTTATTACCGATTAATTCCGAGCGGCGCGCGCTCTCAATCGCGAATAAAATGATTCCTCGACCGTTAAGGAGAGTCGTAAAGTATTGCGTTTAGCTTTTCGCGTTTCTCGACATTACATCAATAATTGCTGAATGATGTGAAATTTTTCCGTATTCAGCCGAAGTAATGAAATGCCGCTGTTCGTATGGCGAAATCGTTTAGAGGCCGATGCCAATTCTGGTCCTTTCGAGGCTTCATTCACGGAGAGAAATTCTCGCGGGGAATGAGCTGAAAATTTGTCGTAAACGTGCGCGCGCGATGGTTAACGAACCGTTACTCGCTTCCACCGGTCAGCCGCATCGATGAAGGCGCTTTGATGTTCCACGATTGCACAACGACTGTCGGCGACCAATCACTTTTCCGCGCTCAGTTCCACGTCGCTCTGTTTGCAAGAAAGCAGAAATAAACGGAGATGCAACGGCGGGGCGCTTTCGAGCGACGCGAAAGAAAAGCGTCACAGTTGTGGAAAATACAACGTTCCCTCAGAAAGTAAATCCTTTTTTTTCTTTTTTTTTTTTTGATGCTTTGAAACGCGATGCTTACGGTACGTCATCACTTTTTCCATCTCTTTTTCTGTCAGTTTGCATTCACTGCTCATCGACAATAGCGCAGAGGTCCAGTACTTGACTGAATTGCGCACCACAGTATATCAACAGTCAAACGTGTCGTCGCCGACGTGACGACCATTCGCGATTTTCAAACGGCTAAATTTCGTTCCTTGGCAAATTTCGGCATAATATGAAATTTAGTGGCGAAACGTGCTAACCTCGCGCGATTTCGAGGAGATAAGAACGTATAAAAGAGACCGTGTAGTCCTCCGGTGAATCGAGAATTTATCTTGCGGTTTCCGCCTGAATTAAAGAAAAGCAAAATTCCCATCAATTTAACTAAAACGCGTAATTTAATTTATAAAAAAAATCGACGCTCACAAAAGAATTCGAAGTCCGCGACATTTGACTTTGCAAAATATCAGGCTGTAATATTTAAAGCACAGATTTTCTTAAATGATTCTTGTTATCGTTTCTTTATTTCTTCATTAATATATACAAAATTTTATCGAATTGCTTGCTTTTGAGATGCGGCGATTTTTTTTAGCGAACAATGTATTTATTTGGACCTTTCCGAAATCGCCGCTTAAATTGTATTTAATACATCGTTGAAAAGCGTCGTTCTCTTGTGATTCAGACGGCGAAATGGCAGGCGTGTTGCAGGCGGAACGCGGAATTATGGAACATTTCACGTAGCGCGATTCTTTTATGAATCCGCGCAACATGATCCCGCCGTTCGGCCGTAAAACCGGTACGAATGCCGTCGGTGGAGATAAAATGGAAAGCATTCCTCCGGAGTGTTGCATATTGCGAATCAGTACAAACCGTATAATAGGACGGGGCGGATAAGGCGGATTTGGAATTAGATGCAAATTTTATCCGCTCGCCTGTCGAGATTGTATTTCAGAGAATTTAAAAGATAACCCTCCGGTGTGGTTACGTATTCCCGCGGTTCGAGTTCCATTTACATGGAAAATAAGCTCCGTCCGACGCTCATTTGGCACGTTAAAAATCCGCGAGAAAATGCAAGAGCGGCTTTTATTTCATTCGATTATTTAATACACGTGGAATTATTTCATCGCGATTCCCGCGCGCATTCAGCCGAATGCGCGCTTTGCGCGATGCGACGATGATCGTCACGTCGTGCGATGCTCATCGAATCGGCCACAATTGTAAGTAGCTACCGCCGGCGGGCGGCTTAATGCGATTGCCAAGCTCGACGGTTCGATTATCCTATCGTGCGCCGATCGTATTTGCCGTATTCGTGAAACGCAGTCGCGCTCATCCGTGGCGCCGAGACGACGGAGGCTTCGCGGCGAGCTCGACCCGGTCGGCGGGCGGAAATGACGTTACCGCGCTGCGGCCTATTATTAATGGAAATTCAATTTCTATTGATTCAATTTCAATTTGATTGCCGAGTATCCGGAGCGTGGAAACTGAACATCATCCGCTCGCGCGCGCGCTACGCGTTTTACGGACTCGTTGAAATATTTGCTCACACATCCGCCGCGCTCTCGGCACCGTAAATACATTTTAATAACGCATTTCTATCGGACAGATCCGGGCTATTGTTCCAGCCCTTCCGCGCGATTTGCCTTTGGGATATTTCCAATATTACCTCTGAAAGCTCTGTAATTATGTGGAGTTTACGGGAAAAAGAATAACTCGCTGATAAAACATTGAACGCACAGGAAATTAAACTATCTTCACGTTTTTTTTTCCCCGAGGCGAAATCTTTTTTTTTTACTCTTCGACTCTCTCAATGTGGCGTGGATTTTAATGTTGCAACATGTGGCGAGCAATAATGCTTTGCAAAATTAAATCGTGATTCAATCGACTGCAAATTGAGAGGTGCCAACGTGATAGCGCTTTCGCTCTTCCCGTTCGATCGAGCGAATTCCCGCCTAAAAAAAAGCAACGCGGCCACGCGGAGCAATGGAAATTTTTGCAAATTGGTACTCGATTCTAGATTGGACGGACTGGCGGACGGCCATCCGAGGGAATTTCCCGGCCGCAGCTTTCGTTGAAACTGAAGGAAATTACATTGCGCGGCGAAACCGCGACCGCGGAGCTCGTTACGGTCGCACGGAGAAAGACCTCGGGGGAGCAGAGGGCGAGAGGAAAAATGCGTCGGTGCGCTTTTTATTCATTTAACGGCGCTCTTCCTCTTCCCTTTGCTTCACCGTTACCACGACAACTTGTTAGAAATTTCCCGCGACGAGTTTGGCCGCGCGAATTTCCACGTCGCGGACGTGCCGCACAATGGCGCGCGTGTAAACGTATTTACAAAGTGTCGTCGCGAACGAGCGTTCATTCATTAACCCGGTCGATTATTTTCAGAATGGTACTTTTTTTTCTTCCGCCTACTGCGCGCCCCTCTGCGCAAGATTGATGGTGAATAATGCGGAGCGCGTTTTTCCGCGAGACCTGTCGCGAGACACGCGTTTTTCGCTATTGATTCAGCCGTTACGTTACGTCTTACGCTCTGGGAAAACACTCGACGTTACGATCTTATTTGAAACTCGTGCTCGCGGCCCCCTGCCGGGCCGAAGATCGATAGAGCGGCGCGAGTAACGTTTCTCAGTGGAAACTGTCGCATATGTCTTTCGCGCTGGAAAAATGATCCTCTAACCATATACGTCGACAATGTAATCTCGCCTCGCAAAATGGGGCGGGTTTTTCGATGGGAGTTAATCATCGTCGCGATAGAGAAATGAACCAAGGCTCTCGCAGATTCCGCGCTTTCCGCCGCCGGTGAGTTATCTAAGTCCGTTATGTATTACTTTTTCTAATGCATCGTAGAAGCCGCGCAAACAAGGTCGTCATAAAATTTCGCCGGTAATCCTCCGTGACGGACGGTAACGATGATTGATATCATCGATCGCAATTACCGCTAACGAGCGGTTCCTCTCGAGCGTGGTTAGTCACTGTGTCGCTCGTTGTTCGTTATATTATCCGAGTTACTCTTGACGCTTCTAAATTTAATTAAGTGCGGACTTTGGTGAAACTCCCTCTCGAGCCCGCATCGCGAGACCAATTCACTTATTCTTGCGCCGCTCCGCCAATAGAATCGTTCTATAGAATATAATCTTAAAAGATTATGCGTCGTGCCGCGCGGATATATTTTTGACGACTTAGCGCAGTGCACTGCATAATTTACACAATGTTCCTGCGATTTTCCATTCCGGCATTTTCATATTTAATATGAGAAATGCGTACAAATCGGATTACTCGAAATAATATCGCGTCGTATAGCTTTTCTTGATATATTTTTGTTCGACTTTTTTTATTTCAAGATTTTATAAAGAAATTGAAATAAAATGATTATATTTTTTCGACAATTGAATTACCTGCTGCGATATGTTAAATCGATACGACATGGAGATGACTATAATTTCACGTGCAAGTAATATCTCGATTAATGCCATTTATAGTCTGGTGTTCTATATCTGACATGACAAAACGAGCGCAATGCATTAACGTCCGTAATTAAATGCAATGCTGTTTGAAGTTGTTAATGAGCTGCTTTCGTTATTGTCCTCATTAAAGTCGCGCGGTTAGTCGCGGCAACAAATATTCCTCCTGCGAGATAAATGTGTGAATTGAAGCGGCAAAATTTAACTCACGAGTATCGCGAGTAATGAGCATATTGCGCGATGCCTTAGCGGAGCTAAATTATCGCATTTCGCATGTGATTGAGATTGCGCTAACAAACCACAACAATTGATTCCATGCAATATTCAACGCAAAATAACGCGCTACCGTTCACTCGTCAACCGCGTGCCATGCAAAAAAATGCGCGTCAAATTAGTCCTGCATTTAGGCTATCTCATGCGAATTATCATTGCAATTAATTTTCCGGGCCATTATAACTTTAGAAAACATTCGAGAAACTGCTTGAACGCTAGAATTGCTTTGAATGCCGAAATCTTAGCTGTTTGCCCAAAGTACGGGCCAGTCAACAAACAATCACTCTTGCACGAGATATTCTTGATCGCCAAACAGCAACGCGTACGAAATTTACGATTTCACTAATCGGGAATCGGGAATGTCTTATAAAAGATTACGCGTCAAAAGAATTCTCTAATATTTATTCTCAGAATCTACAAAACTCCGCGACATCAAGCCCGCACACAGTCTTGCAATCATCGCTTCGGCCTGCACGCAATTCGAGCATCCCGCAATGTAAAAGCTCAAGCTTTGTGCATTTCGGAAGTTCATCGCGCCATAATTCAAGGTGTAACCTTTTTTGTGTTCGTGTACGTGTGTGTCTCGTCTGTGCCTTTGCTGGTGCATTCGCGTGCGCAACTTCTGCTCGCGAACAGCATGAGAATTCTTATTTATTCACGCGTATTATTTATTTTAATTCTTATCAATTTTCCAATTATTTAATTATAATTGATTAATATCAGTTAGTAAAATATTACGATAAGAAACAATCGAACGCGCTTGACTCAGATTTACATCAATCTGCAGTTGAAGAGCGATAAAAGTTTTATGCAGATGCGCCGACGACAATCATTTTTCGCGCGCTTGCTTCCACGTAAACCGACGATATATCTTTGGATGATTTTTTTTTTATTTTTCCGAGCGTCGATATCAAGTTTATCTTTTGGGAAAGTCGTGCGCGCAGCAGGCACGCTAACTCGCCGAAGCACGCTCTTTATGGTTGTTATCGCAGAAACGGTAGTTACGTGCCTGACGTTCGTGGCTCCTAGTTGCAAGAAAATATCGCCGTCGCAGCTAACTCGCGACAAACTATTTTTCTGCACGAGTCCGACGTACGTCGTAATTGCAGAGGACGCGAAAAGTATCGCGCTATTATTTCCCAGCTTTGCAATAAGCGAATGTATATACGCGAGCGAAAAAAAGACGAAACGGCAAACGGAATATTACATTTGTCACGAGCGGCCGCGGCCGGCAGAAAATTTCTTTCCACGCAAACTTCTGAGCGATTGTAAAAACTTCTCCGTAACGTCCGTCGTTCTCTTTGTTATTATCATCGATATGCTATTCTGTCGCAGATGGGCAGCAAATGGTGCCAACCCTCTGCGAGCTCGCGGCACGATGTGTCGCGTCTCATATCCCCTTCGAATTGGTGGAACACTTCTATCCGCCCGTGCCGGAGCAGCTACAGCTGAGAATAGCTTTTTGGAGCTTTCCAGATAATGAGGAGGACATACGACTTTACTCGTGCCTCGCAAACGGTAGTGCTGATGAATTTGTCCGTGGCGAACACCTCTATCGCGCCAAGACCGTCAAGGAGCCTCTGCAAATCGGTAAGATATTCGCTCGCAATCGATTAATATGATTTTTTATCGGGGAGAAGGGAGAGTATTGTGGAACCTTATTCTTTTTCTTAACATCTCACGAGCTTTCAATATGTGATAATACATCAGCCTGCGAGAAATTTAATAATCTGCAATAAGAATGTAGTGAGCATAAAAATAGAGAATTTTTATAAAAATTTTATTGAGTCGATCGGAAAGTTTTTTTCAGATTTTTGCATTGATTTTTATCCGATTTTTATCGGATATTTTAAGAGAAAATGCAGCGATGAGTATCTTAAAATTAATTTGCTGGGCTAAATTTCTTATACAATTATGGTTTACGAAAAGTAAATGTAAAAATGTTGTATAATAAATTAATGAAACTTTTCCGCTGGTTTTAATAAACGGTTTCTGCAGAATTTATTAATTATAATTATATTGCAAGACAATTGTTGGAAAGAATAATATCTATATATTTATCAGCAGGATTCCATGATACTATCTTTTCAATTTTAATCTGTTATTAATTATTCTTACGTGTGTAATGTCGAACAGGATTTCATCTGAGCGCCAGTGTAAACCCGCAAACGAACGGCGTCAGAGCACAGTTCAACGTTGCCGTAACCTTTGACCGTCGCAAAATCACATCATGTAACTGCACTTGCTCTTCGACGGCTTATTGGTGCGCACATGTAGTGGCCGTTTGCCTACACAGGATACACATGGTATATGCAAGTTAACTTTTAGACTTTGAGAAGACTAGCAATGAACTAGAAGATTGAAGAAGTATCAAGATTATCAGTTATCAGTAATTTTTTTTTATCTTTTTTTTTTATTTTCCATTAAGTGTCATATATGTACATATAATCACTCCGCTGTCCTATACTTTTACTTACAAGAAGAACAATTGTTAAAATTTTACTCTCTTTTAGCCAACGCAAGTATGCCTGAGAGCGCCGGTTAGTGAATCCCTGTCGCGATTGCACCGCGAGCAACTGCAAAAGTTCGCTCAATACCTCATCAGTGAATTGCCGCAACAGATCTTGCCCACTGCTCAGCGACTCCTGGACGAGCTGCTCTCAACTCAACCGAGTACCATCAATTCTTACTGCGGTGCTCCGGATCCGACCGCTGGAGCTTCCGCTCACGATCAGACTTCTTGGTACTTAGATGAGAAGACGTTGCATGACAACATCAAGAAGATCCTTATCAAGTTCTGCGTTCCGGCGCCCATAGTCTTTAGGTGAATAGCGGCGCGTAGATAGATAGGCCGGAGCGCCATTGTATAATACAGCTTCACGTAATCTGTTTCGCCGTCTCTTTCAGCGATGTTAATTACCTGAGCACCACCGCGCCTCCGGCCGCCTCTGAATGGGCGTCGCTGCTGCGACCGTTGAGAGGTCGCGAGCCGGAGGGTATGTGGAATCTCCTCTCCATCGTGCGCGAGATGTTCAAGAGGAACGACCGCAATGCCATACCCCTGCTGGAGATCATCACGGAGGAGTGTATGGCGTGCGAACAGATCCTCGTCTGGTGGTTCAATACCAAGGTCGCGTTACTCAATGGCACCGGATACGGCAGCAAGCACAACATGAACAGCAACGTTCACGCCTCGCAGCACGCGTGCTCGTCTCTGTGCGACGAGATCGTCGTTCTCTGGCGACTGGCCGCGCTCAACCCCGGCCTCTCGCCGTCTGAGCGCGAGATGTTGCACGCTCAATTTATAGCTTGGCACTTAAAGATCATAGACAAGGTAAGTATTCACGATCCCGCGCGAGGATTTCCTTCCTCGACGAAATCCTGTTTAATGAGTTAATTGCGCTATTTAGGTCGCCAAATTCCGTGGCAGCTCTGTATCGCACAACTCGCACAACAGAAGTAACAGTTCGCAAAAGGATTCCTTGAAACATGATCTCGCAGTCTTTACAGGATTCAAATCGGCGCTCGAGGCTTGTTATCTTGATTGGGACGAATACGTTTTGCCGGGGATCACGTATACCGCTGAAAACAATCCTATGTACCATTGTCCCTTTACGTGCTTTCGGCATGCCGGCGACACGAGAACGGAGGTTAATCAGGTTGGTTTTCTCAGCTGTTTTTCTAATAATTTATCATTACACATTTATTTAGAAAGCACTGACCAATTAACATTTTCTTTTTTCAGGTAAATTCGAGTTCGGCGGTGCTGAATTATCAGCCGCCCATCTCGCATCATCACGGTCGACGGCCGTTGAACGTCAGCCTCGTCGAGTTCAGTTATTTGGACAGACGGCGGCTGAATCCGCGCGAATTCCCACTGTGTTCGAGAAGCGGCGGCGGCGACGGAAATCGCAGTAGCGTCAGCTCCGAAGGTTTCTGCGAGAACGACACCGACATTCCGGATATATCTGAGTCTCAGGTTGTTCTGAGGCAAGGTTGTGCTCAACTAAATAATTGCGGCGATACAGATTCGCAGGTCATTATTCTCTTATTTCACGATAGTGACGTTAATACCATTGTTTACACTTCTCACAATTATGTTGTATTATTTCAGGAAGGGGCCGGTAGTGAGTCATCTTCCAACAGTAACGTAAGCATGAAGAACGCTCAAGGTTCGGACAAGCATCGCTCAAATGCGTCGTCCGAGACACATAGTGATACTAGTGATAGTAGTAATAATAAAGCTGCCTGCGAGAACGCAAAGTGTAGCAGGACAAAAACCGCGGAGTGTCGTGACAAATCGCACGCGGTTGTGCCGAAAGGCGCAAAGAACGAACATGAATCCGATCAGGAAAAGGAAGCCGGGAGGCCGTTCAAGGACGAGAGCTCCTCGTCTAGTAGTGACATTCCATCCGGTGACGAATATAACGTTTATTATTACGACCCGAAGACTGTGACGAACAATAGCGGCCTGTCGAGTAAATATGTTAAAAGCAATACGCATGCCGCCAGCACTCCGGACGCCAGTATAGTTCTGAATAACTTGAAGAAGACGGAAGACCCATGGGACATTCTGTTCGCGCGGGCGGAGGGGCTTTACGCTCACGGCCACACGAAAGAAGCCTGTATCATCGGAGTACAGTTGGCCGAGGAACTCTTGGCTAATCCTCCTGATCTTATAATTGAGGGCCCGCTATTACCGGTGAAAAATAAACGGAAAAGGGTATGTTTCTAAACATAAAATTACATGCTAGATACAGCGATGCAATATTGAAACGTGTTACATTGACTTTACAGCAACACGTGAATCCAGCGTCTCATCAAGTGACGTGTCTCGCATCGGCGACTTTAGCAAAGTGCGGATTTCTGTGCACGGTACTTGCTGAAAATCCGGAATATCACAATTTGGCGTTTCGCGTGGGTCTGTTTGGTTTAGAGATGGCCAGACCACCGGCCAATACAAAACCTTTAGAGGTAAAATTCAGTATAACAGCGAAGCGAATTTACGTCATTTGTACAAAATTGATGGTTATTTTTACTCAACTAGGTCAAGCTTGCTCATCAGGAAAGCGAATTAGTAGGATTACTGAAGAGAATTCCTTTGGGACCGACAGAATTAGCTATGATAAAACAAAGAGCTGAACAACTGAGAGACGGAGTTATGAGATCGAGAGGACATGCGCTCTTGCCCATCATGTTAGCCAGCTTCATATATGACGCACTTGATGTACCAAGTACGGAGAATATTCTTTTGACAATACACATATATGTCTTATGCTTTGCATTAATTATGTATACAGAAAACATTTTTTTTTTTTACACAAATAGGGAATAAAAATGTGCAATGTTTCGCAGGAGTGAAATTGCCGGCGGAAATTGATCCGAATCTCGGATTTGACGCCGCTGTGGCTGTTTTGGGATTAAAAGCCAATGTGAGCGAGGCAGATCATCCTCTTCTATGCGAAGGAACTCGCAGGCAGAGGTATATTTGTAATTTCAATGTTATACATATGTATTGATGCAGATAATGGCATGCACAATTTTTCCTTTTCAGAGGAGAATTGGCTATTACTTTGCTCGTGCATTACAAAGACGATCCTACGAAATTGGCTAGAATCATGGAAAAGTTATTGGATCGGGATGTTCATCAACTCAACAAATCAAACTCACCTATCCTCAGCAGTTATTACACTTCAAATCCTCCTACGAAGAGTGAAGTAAGAATATAAAATGTTTCTAGTACTATTTTAAATAAATAAAATTACATATCTAATGACATAATGTTTAGCGGCATTATGTAAAATTTCAGATGGCACGATTTGTCCACGATGAAGAATGCTCGTCGTCTCTCACCGGGACAGACAATGGCGGAAATTGTGATAACATCATTGGCGCTAGTAGTAGACCTCACAGCAGTACGAGCGCGGAACTCGAGAATAGCATCAGCGCGCTAACCATTCAACCGCAGATTGTTCAACCATCTGTGCCTATTAGAACTAAAGAAACACGGTGTGTGCTTGTCGAAATATGTATACGCATATATATATATATCGTGCAGATTGAATTATATCTATCTTTCACTTTTTTGTTTTATTCAGATATAAAAGTAAAGGCTATACCCATCAATTCCTAATCAGCCATCAGAAGCAAGCGCGCACTTCATGTGCGAATTAGCGAAAACCGTATTATCGAAGGCCGGTGGCTCCAGCTCAACGTCATTATTCACTCAACCATCCACCAGTCAAAATCATCATGGTCCGCATAGAGCGCTTCACATGTGCGCCTTTCAGCTTGGGTTGTACGCCCTTGGTCTTCATAATTGCGTCAGTCCGAATTGGCTCAGTCGTACGTACTCCAGCCACGTGTCTTGGATAACCGGCCAGGCAATGGAAATCGGAGCTCCAGCCATCTGGTTTCTTATTGACACTTGGGAAGGTCACTTGACGCCACCGGAGGCCGTCAGTATAGCCGACAAATCCTCGAGGGGCAGTGATCCGAATATGGTCAGAGCGGCGGCCGAGCTTGCTTTGTCCTGCCTGCCGCACGCGCACGCGCTCAATCCTAATGAAATCCAGAGAGCTATATCGCAAGTATGTACAAAGCGAACAGATATATTAAGGATCAAATTATTCGTTATTAAATATTTTATTTTTTGCCTTAGTGTAAGGAACAGAGCGAAGCCATGTTGGAAAAAGCTTGTATTACAGTTGAAAACACCGCGAAGGGTGGCGGTGTTTATCCAGAAGTGCTCTTCCAGGTGGCAAAGTATTGGTACGAGTTATATCTTCGGGTAAGATAGAAATTTATTAAAGTGTAAGTCAGTAACTTTCGAGACAATTCGTTTCTGTACGCTTTTTTAAGACGGTGTATTTAGAATAGGTTGAAATTAAATCTTAATGTACAATATATAGGTTTTTCTTTTTATAAGAAATATAAGATTTTACGAGTTGCGGAAATTTATATTCATGAAACAATAAATATTCCTGTAAAATTGGAAATTAATATTGCTTATAGTTTTTCATTAAAAAAAAAAAAAAGTCACTGCATTCTTAGTTTATAAAATGTATCACTCTGTTTCTGTTTCGGTTAGCAAACTCCTGGTGCAGATCAACAGGATGAGATTCCTCACGATCCTTTGCAATTGGATCTTAATGGAGTGCTATTAGTCGAACCGGGACCTTCCGTAGACCTGTCGAATACGCAGATGATGCCTGGGCCGACGCAGACGGTCGTTGTTACCAGCACGCAACCACCTCCTCAGCCCTACACTCATCCAACGATTACGACCCTGGCGCCTTTAGGTAGGATAATTGACACTTTTTTTTTTCGCGGGAGTATCATCGAACATATCTTATTACAATTCTGTTTCAGGAGTCGGCATGCCGTACGCCGTGGGCCCGTACAGTTTTGTACATCCTCATCATTCCATCGCAACGTTTAGCGGTCCGATGCCCTCGCACAGAGTCACTTTACCGCCCGCACCGCACATGCAAATGTATCACCCATTTCCACATCACCCCGGACACCCTCAACATCCGCCTCATCCGCATCACTCGTCTCCAGTCGCGCCACCTCCCCCAGGACCATATTACACGCCGCCACCGACGCCAGGAACTCGACACTTGTATACGATGCAACAGCCGATGCCGGTAAGCATTACGCTTCAACATTTTTGTATTCATTTTACGCGTGCGTTGTTTTCTCACTATATTTATTGCGTGATTATTCGAAATTAATTACGCTGATTATGACGATTTCTTTCTACGTTTTTAGTCTCAATGTGATAAAAATATAATTTTGTATGCTGCTCAGGTTCAAGCAGGAGTAGCAGGTCCTCTTCCCGGACAAAATAATATGCCTGGACCTACACTGGTCCAGACACAACCTATAATATCGACTGTGAGAGCTCAACCTCAGGTAATTTCCATGATACACACGCAATAAGATAACGCAGCGATTGTACGCTTAACTGCAGAGATAAAAGCGCTGATTTTTCTGCCTTTAGGTTCATAGACAAAGTCAGACATTTAGTCAACAGCAATTGCGAACTCTCGTTTCTGCATATCGCGTGGGTATGCTAGCGTTGGAAACTCTGGCTCGCAGAGTGCACGACGATCGGCCTCAAGCCAAGTATGCGCGGAATCCGCCCTACGGAGAGGATGTTAAATTTTTGCTCAGAGTTGCGAAGCGGCTTGGCACGCAGTACATACATCAGCTCTGCATCTGTGCTGTGAACAGCATCGTCAGTCCCTTTGTCCTTCATCATGTTGCTCTGGAAGGGGCTCAGTATCTTGCAAGAAACAATCCGGCACTCATTGTGCAACACCTGAGATCTGCCTTGTTGGCTCCGCTGGTACACAAGTGCCAACAGATGTTAGTATCATTCTTTGTTTTGCGTAAACATAGGGAAATGGAAGATTTGATGACAAAGAAAAGTTTGTCGTCGGGCAGTGCTAAATGAAAATTTGCACGTCTCAATTTCAGGTACATTCAGTGTATGCATCAAAAGCTGTATCACTTAACAGCTGGCGATTACGAGGAATTTGCCAGTATTGTTTGCGCTGCGAGAGCTGCCTTCCAAATCAATCCAGAAGGAAACGCTCATTTCAAGGAGTGGCTGCAGTCGATTAAAAGGTACATTCAAGCGCAAACACTCTACAACAAATGGACGGAATTGTGAAAACTGACGACATTCCTTTCCAGATCTCAGTCTTGTAATAAAGATCTGTGGGCACAGATCAATGCGGCGTTACAACAGACCGGCAAATGACACAGAGCGGAGCCAGGCGTGACGTGGCTCACCTCCCTACCCCATCATCCTCAACCACCCCCGCCGCCTCCACCACCGACAACGACAACTCTCGTACTACAGCATCAACATCCCTGTCACCCCCATCCACAGAGCGTCGTATGCGTTCACGGGCTGGCTGCAGTCAACAAGCTCGCTTGGGACAAGATCTCCATACCATGCATCATTGAGGAGCCGGCGGTGCATCAGCTACCGCCGCCGCCGCCGCCGCCGCCGCCTCATCAACACCAGATGATTGCCGGTCTACCGGGACCGTCCGTGTGGCAGGATCCGACCGACAGCCGTGGCACTCAGGGGATCAATACCAGAGATGAGCGAGATTTATCTCAAGTTTAGTTAATGTATCTAGAATCGCGTGAGTACTTTATAGTTGATAATGATCAAGATGTTGATGAGGACGCATGAGTTACGTTAGGTTAAGTATAAGTGAGAGTGGACAAGCTTAGTATATAAATTTGTACATTAAGTTTTACATACATACATTTCTATTTGCATAGTAAGATCTAACGTAAAGCATTGAGTGCACTGATCTATAGACGCATCTTCTGCATGAAGTGATATGTGTATATTGTATCAATCAAAATTCACGTTCTGATTTTGAGTCATATCGGGTGCGTGAGCGAGTCATAGAGTACGCGAAGCATTTCTTCAGATTAAATTTAGTTACCCATGAGACAATGAATAAGCTTTACTGATATATATGTAATATATATATCAAGTAATATATATATATATAGTTTTTTTTTTATTTGGACGAGAATGCAGTAAGCGATTATTATCATCGATTTTTTTTTAAATATATATATTATATTATATATATTTTAGGTATTTGGAAACGTTATAATTTGAATCTATAAGAGAAAAATATTGCTCTCGTTTTGATTTTGTTTATTACGGTGCCTGCATGCACAACTCTTCATATCTATTAAATCAATACGATAAATAGGATATAATTTTATACAATTTATCTACTGAAACGTCATACAGTGGTTCCCAATTATAAGAACACTCTTCGGTCGATCTAACAGGAATGTTAACTTGTACATCTTTAGAAACTGTCTCTTAAATTTTGCTGACGGTTGGACCTGAAAAGTGGAACAACTATGATGAAAAACGAACGAGATTATGAAAGGAGCTGGCATTAGATAAAACAGTTTGTTTGCCAAGAGCGAACTCAGAGCCGTTATGAAGGGCGTCTGACAAGCCATCGTCCTACAATCTGTTATAAAGTTTGATTTCCATTTCCTCCTCGGTGATTTGCCCCCTGAACTTTGTGACGTCGGTGTGCATAAATTCTTCAGCATCGGTATTCTTTGATGGGAATTCTTCAGCATCGGCATTCTTTCTCTGCCGGACCCAGTTCCGGCGACCCAGTTCCCTTCCGATTGATAGAAGTGGAATATATATATCTTCCAGAATATTTTCAGAGCGTGACAGGGCGCGGAGTGCTATTAGAAATAGAAACTCACCCGAGTGATTTCCTTTTTCTAATAGCACCCCCGCGTCCTGTCACGCTGTGAAAATATTCTGGATATTCTGGATATTCCATGTGAAAAGTTAAAAGATTTGTCTGTATGAAATTCTTCAATAGCATCAACTAATTCGATTGTAAGTGTATTATTATAAATTAATATTTTCAATAATAGTTTATCAATTTTTTCTAATTAAATTAGTCTAATTAAACTGCAATTTGAAGGATGACTTTAAATTATTCTATTGTTTACAAAGGCGGCATTTTTCACGAAAATACAGGTCTAACATCTTTATAAATTAATGCAACCATACTTCTGATTGCTTCGAAATCTTAATACCTTTTTTTTTCATCCATCAGGTGATCCAAAATTTTCTATATAATATTTTCTATAATATTACATATATATTATAGAAAAATACATATATATACAAATTTATGCACATTTAATTTAAATATATATGTTTTATGTACTACTGTATGACGTTTCGATAAAATGAGATAAATCATATAAAGTTATATCCTATTTATTGTACTGATTTAATAAATATGAAGAGCATGTAGATACGGTAATATAATTTCAATCGAAACAGATTATTTTGTTGGAGGATATGTATTGCATAATGATGATTGGTTCTTCTTCTTAAGGGGTCAATGATATAAACACATTCTCATCTACAGAAACAATTGCATAAAAAATTAAACAGATATCGCAGCAATGGCCATAATTTAATATTCATATTACGGCTTTATATAAATTACATTGCACAATTTAAATCAATCGTTTTAATATCATTAAACTATACTATTTTTTTTAATATCTGATGTACTTATATTTCATTACAATGCTGTACTTATCTTTATTATAATAATATCAAATTTACGCGTTTGATTGAAAAGAAATTGTTTTGTATAAAAATATTTATATATACATGCGTTTGAGGACGTAGATAGGTTTGATTTTTTTTTAAAGAAAAATAATTTATTAATCTACAAAAGTATGTTTTACATAAAATGATATGTGTATATGCAAAACATATGTTTTACTAAAATAATATTTCTAAAATTTGTTGCTAAAATTTTTACATCCATTTAATATAATTACTAAAATATGCTATTACACGCCAGATATGCGAAGGAGTATAATCTGTTATGCGGAATTATTTTTTTAGTTTGTTTTATGTCTTTAATTCATTCATTCAGTTATTAAAAAAATGAAATAAGAGCAGTATTTATTCGAACGAATTCTCTATTTTTATATTTCTACATATAATTAATTAATTAATAAATATGTGTGGTAACAAATAGCAGTAATAACGATATAATGAAATAGCAGACAATTTAATTCGATAATTTTAATACAAGAAGGTGACTTTGCCTTTTTTTGATCATATAATTTAAGCTATAAAAATCCGTTATATCTATAAGTAAAAATTACACTGGCAGCGTAAGAATATTAGATACCGATAACATGAAGGAAACAGTTTACTTCAGTTCATTTAATGAATTCAGAATTTGCACTTTATTTGCAAAGTATTATTTGCTGTTTCGAAGATAATAACATTAGTTTTTTTTAAGGGATATAACAATGTTATTTTTTTCATGTGGGTTTCAAAGAAATCGGTGATAAAATATCTATACTGCACATTTATCATTTATTTTGTTTTATTTTTATTTTATTTATCTTTTATTAAAGAAAATAAGACGAAAAGAAAAGTCAAAGAAAGACGAATGGAGAGAGAGAAAAAATTAATTTAAAATATAATTTATGAAATTTATTTATAAATATGATTAATTATAAGTTATTTTTAAAACAAAATTGATACATAGTATAATATAATTTGAATATAGTTCGAAAAAAGTATTATTCTGAATTTTTTTTATTGATGAACACATATAAATCAAATGAAATTAAATGATAAACGTGGTGTGTAATGTATTAAATATGTATTTTTACTTATATTAAGTTTTACATACGGCAACATGTTTAGTAAATCACAGTATAGTCGATGAGGAAACGATTCTTCGTGAAAATTATGATCAAATTATTTGGATAATCTTTGGATATGTGCTTTTTCTCTATTATATAGCAAAGGAAAATATTTACAAAAGTTCCGGTGAACTCTAAAATATTAAAAAAGAATTTTCTTGCTTTCTTTAATCACTTTCATAAAATGCATTTGCATAAAATGACTGTACATGTAGTATATGCAAAGTAACCTTCAAATTTTTCTAGCAAATTTTATGAAAATGCAATGTGTAAACTTGGTAATTTGGCAATTGCAACAATTAATTATTTTGTTCATTTTGATAAATTTTGTTAATTAAGCAACATAATTATTTTAACTATTTATTACTTGATGACGTAATAATGCGACTGTATGATATTTGGATAAAAGTAATTGAATAAACAATTTGTAGGTAAATAAACAATTTAAACAATTAAATTTATCGATTCAATATTCTTGACCAAAGATCAATGAATTACGAATTGTTAATTTTAATCGTCGCACTAAAAATGTCAATGTCCTGTATCTTGGCTTAATTAACAAAATTAAAGACATTTAATGTTTGTCAGATGCTATAAAAATATGTATATTTCAAAGAAGAAAAAGTTTATAAAAACATGAGGAGATTTAATTTATTCGATTGAAATTAATATGTTTAACGATACGGTGTCATTGAAGATTGAGTTAAATTTTCAAAGCTAATTTACATGGTAAGAGGAGCTTCTTTGAATGATCGAATGAACAACATTTATGTATATGAATCTAAAATTAGATTTATCCTATTATCAGATATTGAAAAATGCACTGACCTTTATACGTCTAGACGGCAAAGAATCAGCTATTGCCGATAGAAGCAAAATTACAGTTATGTAGTTTTGTTTTCAGATTACGTTCTAGTACACAAGAGCTACACAAGTGAATTAGTGTAGATTTGAACTATGAGTTTTGTAACGTCTCGAAAATATGGTATATTTCACTGAATAATCACATGAATATTAACAAAACATTGAATATTAACAAAAGATTCATGATTAATCGCTCAAAAAATTCGATAGATACTCTCAATGCATATATTACATGTATGCATTTATCGTATATGTACAGTTTTTTTTGCCTTTGAAAAAAAGAGACAGATTGGAAGAGAAAAGAAAAGAAATAATATTAATAAAAAAAGGGAAGAGAAAGAAAAGAAGAAAAGGGAAAAAAAAGGAGGAAAGCAGTTATATATACAAAAAGTTATAAAAATTAAAACCGTATAATTTATTAAATTTATATATTTAAAGCGTTATTATTTTATAATATAATATAATTTGAAGAAATTCCGCTGTGCCGAATTTTTACCGACGTAAACGTATGATTTATAAATTAGATAAGATTAGGTCGTGTATAATATATATCGTAGTATATAAGTTCTTATACGAATTCGGTTGGATGTGTACGCCTTTGTGTACATGAATGGAAATACTTTTTTACGAATTTTTCTTTCAGGCAATATTATAATTCATTCCAAAACTGACAATCACGTTATCGCTGCTCTGATTTTACGCGACATTCCATTTATGTCGTGAAATTTATTACATATACTTATAAAATATATTATAAGATTATAATTATAAAAATTATCAAAAAAGTGACGTAACACGCGAAAAGCGTTGTGAAACGAAAGATACAATGAATAAGGAATATTTTATTCCAAATATTTTATTCCAAAAAAAAAAAAAACGGTACACTTTCTGATTTTTCATGACGTTCCATTTATGTCGTGAAATTTATTACATATGTTTTTATAAGATATGTTGTATAAAATTATAATTATAAAAATTAACCAAAGAGAGACGTAATATATAAAAATTTTTTGTAAAATGGAAGACATTATGAAAAACGGTCTGAACGGAAAGTTCAGCCACTGATGAGTCACACGACGTGTTGAAAAGATACAAGTCGTACATTTGAATGTCCAATAATGCGTATTAATATGCCCAATACAATGCCACACAAATTTACATAAAGGCGTACGCATAGTATATAAATGACTGATACCAGTGAAATGATCAGTATAAAAATGTGCAGCATAAGGATAGTAAAAAAAAAATGCTAATTAAATATATTTACATTAAATATATTTAATACTTTTTTTTTAAGATGTCGCTTTGTGAGCGAATAAGGAATCCTCGAATGAGAATTAAACACAAATGGATGTGCTGTCACTATTCATTTTTGTTGTCCGTCGGCTCAATTTATACTCATCTTTATGTTACACTTGTTATAAAAGAAATAGCGCACCATAGACTTTAGTCTACATTAATGTCTCCAACCGAATTTACTATTGCGTTGTGTTTTACATGTATAGACTTTGTGACTCGCAAGATCGATGTAAAGCTGACGAAATATGTGAAAATGCGCATGATTGGTAATGAGAGATGACTAAAACACACCGATCACCAGGACAATTGCTGGTGACGTTAAAAAGACTTTCTTTTTTGCATAAAATAAAATACACATTATATTAACGATCAAGAATCAAAATTCATCTCAGACTTTGACTCATGTCGGACACGAAGAATCATCGAATGTACGCGGAATCATTTCTTTAATTGGTTTCAAGCTTTTCACTGCAACTCGATAGAAAATCTTCTCTTTATCAATAGACAAAGTTAATTCTTTTCTCAATTTTCAATAACTGACAATTCTTTTATTAACATTTAAATGACATTTTTTTACAAAAGTAACACGAGGGAAGAATCAATTCTTTCAGTAAAGAGAACATTTTTTATTCAATATTGCCATTGAAAATATAAAACTATTTCTCTATATATAAATAATAATTACTTAACATTACATTTGAATTCTTAATAAAAATAAATTTTTGTTATCATCTAGCACTATATATAGGCTTGATCCACATTATCGCTCCGATTACAATTCAATCACGCTTCGCTCTTGATTAAATATTTTTTGAAACAATTAAAAAATATTTGATCAAGCCGAAGCGTAACTGGATGATGATAAGAGCAATAGTGTGATTCACGTCTTACTATTCTCAAATGAACTGTCACGCGCCTTCTTTCCGTTTTCTTCTCTGTTTTTTTTTTTCGTCCGTTACATTTTATTTCGCTTTTCTTGTACCGTAGATTTACATTATATTATATTACACGATCGCAACATATTCTCGTTTGTCATTATTGACAATTCGTAAACGAAATGATCTCTGTAATTTTTAAAGTGAAATAATTTAAGATATAAATAAAAAGGAAAACATTATACAGCCGACATATCACCTCCAGATTTGAGCCACCTGTCCACACTCAAGACCAGCTTCGCGTCTTCGCGAAATGCAACGGAAAAAAATCTTTCTTGTCTTTATTTTTTTTCTCATTTTTGCTCTTCTTGACATGCGAGCATTACGCTTTTTGCTTCATTTTAGAACAAAAATAAATTATTGTTTTAACGCTTTTCTCTAATTTTCTTACAACTATAATATCGTGTTTGGTGGCTCGTAAATAATAATTGTAAAGACCCATTGGTACGCCATATTATTATTTAAATCATCTATTACACTATCATAGAAAAAGAATAAAGAAAGAGAGAGAGTTCATTGCTTACATTAAATCTGGTAGCCTAAAAACGAATGATAAAGATTAAATAATCTAAATGCCGTGACGCGTAAACGATAAGAGAGGAAAGATTTATTTTCACTATGTGTAATTAAACGCTATAGCACGCGTGTGACACCGCCGCCGCGTGAAGTG